CTTATCCCAAACCAGGACTGTTACACAGACTCCTTATCCCAAACCTGGAATAACTGTTACAGATTCCTTATCCCAAACCTGGAATAACTGTTACACACTTTCTCCTTATCCCGACCCTGCAATAACCATTAAACACCTTTTTCAAGGGCACACTTAAGTTAAATACACAAAACTGGGTTAAGGAACTGGTGACTGGGACTTGTCCTGTGACTGTCCCCCTTTTTCTCCTCCCAGGCATCCCTGAACTACCACAGCAGTGCAATTCTGGCAGCAGCACTCGACACCCTCACGGTTCCCTACCGGCTCTGCTCGTCCCAGGGCTCCATGGTGCACTTTGCTGACTCCCTCACCTTCTCTGGGAGGAAGGTGAGGACACCAAAACCAGCCACCCCTGATCCCTCCAGCTCTGCTGCAGGCAGGGGATGCTGTTCTGCCCTTCCAGGAGTGTGTTCCAGGCTGTTTTCCCCCCCGATCCAGGTTGTGGCTGCGTGGGCGTCTCTCCCCTTCCCTGCCTTTCCTGGCTCCTCGCTCCCAGAGATTTTAAGTGCCCACCAGCAGGACGTGCCCTGGAAGCTCCTCCTGTCCTCCTGGAGGGAGCAAAAGGTCAGCTGCTGTTTTGCTCAGTCTGTTGTGCTCCGAGGAGTTTGCAAAGAAAGGCCCAGCAGGTAAATCAGCCTCTGAACTGCACCTCTGCCCTCGGAACTGCGGCTCTGCCAGCGGGGATTCCTCCCAGGAGTCATCCCAAACCCCTCCCTCCGGAGAGGAGCTGGATGGAGGAGCAGTCTAGTGACTGAGCCAGTTTAATTTTAGAGCAAAAACAGCTAAAGAGCAGCTGAGTCAGTGGCGTTTTCAGCCTGGAAAGCCCTGATTTGGTTTCCTTTGCAGCAGCTCCCTGGGACAGCAGCCCCGGCCGCCCCTGCAGGGCTGTGAGAGCCCTGAGGAGATGCTCCAGCACTACCTTCACACCCACTTCCCAGGCTCCTTCAGGTGGGTACAGGTGGGTGGGGGGGGTTGGTTTAGACCAGGGAACAGTTTTGAGGGCATTTTGGGGTAACTTTATTCCCCTGTACCCCCCCAGCACAGCCCACGTGCTCCAGCAGCCCTGCGACACCCGACCTCCCTTCCCCCAGTTCTTCTCTCCTCTCCTGACCAGACAAGGCTTCCTCCAGGACAAAGCTCCGGGTCACTCCTCGGCAGGGCCCAACAGAGGTAAAAAACAACACCACTAAACACAACCCACTAAAACAACACCAACCCCACCCCACCCTGGAGGGTTTGCAGGGCACGAGTTACGAGTGTCGAGCGGCTCTTTACGCCGAGGTGAAGGGGAACGGGGCCAGGCCCCGGATTTCGGGGGCTGTTTAACCCCAGCTGTTGGTGTGTCCCCCCAGCTGTGCAGAGCATCCCCGTGCTGGCAGCCCTGCAGGCCTCCCCTGTCCTGCACCAGCTGCTCTCGGGCCTCTGGCGGGACCTGCGGGCGCGGAACGTGCGGCGCTGGAGCAGCTTCTTCACGGCCGGGCTGGAACAGGACGACTTCCAGCAGGCCCTGGAGGAGCTGAAGACTCTGTCCCAGTGCTATGAAACGGGGTTTGGGGGGGATGGCTCCGAGGAGGAGGCGGATTCAGACTAACCCACCTTTATTCCCGGGGACAGAGGGAGTGGGAGCCTCTTTAAGGTCACTTTGGGAATCAAGGGAATGGCTTTGGGGACGCTCCAGCTGCTGCTTCCTTCTCATTTCACCAAAATCCCCTTACAAAGGCTGGCTTAAATTCTCCAGCTACTCACAGCTGTGTTGTAGAGGAGGAAAGCTGCTTTTGGGGGGGCTGTTTTTGTATGTTTGGGGTTGTTTGTTTGGTTTTTTGTTTGGTTTTTTATAACTGTGCAAAGTGGATTTGCTCTGCCCCATTGAAATAAACCCACACAATAAATAAGAGAGCTCAGACTGTAACTTTCTCACATACAATCAACACAAGGGGAGAACTTAGAAAAAGTCCTGTGTTCTTTCCACGAGAAAACTGACATCTTAGGGTACAATATTTACACGTTCTGGTCCAAAGCTGCTGTGCCCAACCTTCCCCTCCCAGGCCAGGCGAGTGTCCCCAAGCCCCAGCTCTGCTGTTTCTCTGCTGAAGCTCCCCAGGGAGGTTCTGGAGAACATTCTCACCCCGACACCTCTCTTGGTGCCTCCAGTTTGGTACAGGCTGGCAGTGCAGCTCATCAGAAGTGGAGCAGGAAAAGTGAACAAAAACCCGGGAAGGCGCCGTCATAATACCTGTGCAAACATTTTCCCACAGCACCTGTCTAGCAGCAAACTGGCAAAAAACAAGCAAACTTCTTCTGGGGCAAGTCAGTAGTTTACCACCTCAGTCATCAGGTTCCTCCTCAGAGAGCAGGAGATCTTTATCTGACAGCTGGTCCGTGTTGCTGGTGCTTGTTGCATCCTCCTCATCCTCGGAGCTCCCGTCGCAGGACGTGTGGAAGAGCCTCATCAGCTCCCTGAACCTGTGGGACACCTGAGGAACGAGGGGAACCCGACGTGAGCAGCGGCCTGAGAGGTGTCACAGAACTGGGATTCCGTGTTTCAAAGCTCGGGGTGTTTTGGAATGTTTTAAAATATATATGTATATAAAAATACCACAGAGACATTTCATGCGAGGTTCGGTCATAAAGGAAAAGAGAAATGCAAGAGCAGCAGGTTGTTGTTCTCTCTGGAAGAACAGTTACATTCTACTGGTTTGCAGGTAAAATCTGGCAGTTTGGGAAGATTCAGAGGCAAAACCAGGCAGATTCTTTATGGAGGAGGAGGAGGAGGCTGAAGACCTGAGCAGCAGCCACTGAAACAACCCTGGTACCAAACGGGAGGCTCAAACACCTCAGGATTTCTGGCTCCAGGGTTTGTTTTGGTTTTGATTTTTTTTTTTTTTTATTTGCAGCTGGGATGATTTTTTCATCAAATTTAAGTTTGGGAGGGAGGCTTTGTATGAACAGCACCCTCCCCCCCCTTTCCTTCCTTTCCAGCCCCCTCCCCATCCCCTGGGAGCTCTCCCATGCCAAGCCCTCACCTCACTCGCCGTCTTGTTGCCCAGTTTCTGGGAGATGGCATGGAAGGTGTCCAGGTGGGCTCCTTTCTCCTGGCAGGTGGTGAGGATGACCCTGTCAGCCTCCCTGCAAAACAAGCAGCTGTAAAACAGCCCAAAAAACCAGCCATGGAATTCCAGCTCCCCCTTCCCCACACAAAGCCTGTTCCCGGTTCAGGAGAACAATTCCCTGGGTGAGGGATCCCTTCACCCCTCCTGCCACCTCCCCTCACAGGACCCATCTCTAAGCAGAGCTGCCTTTAGGGTGTTTTTGTGTTTTTAGCTGTTTTAAGTCGTTTTTTGAAGGAGAAAAAAGATCCTTTCCCAGGCTGAAGTGCTCCAGTAACAGGGGAGGACGGAGCTCTGATGGACTGGTCGGAGGAAACGAGGCAGGAACACTGAACAAGAGGGGGCAGGACACAGCAGAAAATGGGAATACAACAGGAAAGGAAAGGATCCTCTGCAATGGGAGAGCTGAAGGCAGGAAGGGCAGGGCAGGCAGAAGTACCTGGTCCAGAGCACGACCTTCTCCCCGGTGGAGCTGACCTTGCTGTTCTTGGCACACACGGTGGCCTCGGTGACCTTCTGCTGCTGCTCCTCCAGGGCTGGAACCACCCTGGGCTCGGGCTGCTCGGGCTGCTGATGCCCCTGGAGGCAGCTGTTTGCCCTTCCCTCCGTTCTGCCCTCGGGGGGAACGTCCCCAGGGCAGGCTGTGCCAGCTTTGCCACCCGCCGGCACCCAGCCCTGCCCGGCTTCAGCTCTGCCCTCCGGAGGCAAAGGTGGCCCCTCAAGTCCTTCCCCAGCTGGTTGGGAGGCAGGGCCAGGCCCCCTGAGGCTCTCTGGCCCCTGGCTCTGCCCTGGGCTCTGGCAGCAGCAGGACTGAGGTCCTGGTGGCCCCGTGGCTGCAGCAGAGGGAGGAGGCAGCAGCAGATCCCTGCCCGGCCCCAGGGAACCATCCCCATCCCCTCCAGGCTGCTGGGTCAGTCCCTCACTCCCCACAGTGTCTTTGGTTTCTTGAGGTAGTTTCAGAGCAGCTTTTGGCAGCTGGGTCCCTCTGGGGCTGGTGGCAGCAGAGTCTCTGTCCTGGGCACCTTCCACCCCAGCACTGGCACCTTCTGCCACCTGAGCACCAGGAGGGGCAGGTCTGTCACCAGCTCCGTGCCTGCTGGAGGCAACTCTTCCTTCCAGGGGAGATCCTGAGGAGAAACCCAAACGAGGTGAGATAAAAGCATCAGCAAGAAAAAAACCTCCTGCAGGCTTTGATCCCTTGGCTTTTAAAGAGGTTTTTATTTTAGAGCCTAAGGCTGCAAATGAGACCAGTTTGGGAGCAGCTCTGTTATTTGTTATTCTACCTGCACCTCTGCCTCAAAGAAGACCATCTACAGTCAATGTTCTTCACCACTGTGAGTTACCACAACTGTGGGAAGTGATGGAGACACAGAAACCTCGAGTGCCCTGCCCAGAGCAAAACCCTGCAGGGAAAGGGCAGCTCTTGGCACCCCGGTTACAAACCCAGCCACGAGGCTGCACCACATTTAAACCAACATTTCAACCTGCATTTCACTCTGTGCTGCCCCCAACAGCAGCACAAACTTGGATCTGGCACCTGGGGGAGGAAAAGATCCCCCTGGAGCTGTTTATATATTTATCCAATAATTGTGGATAAACACATATTTTATATATATTTATATTTATTATTATTTTAATAATTATTTATATATTTAATATATTTATATATTGTTATTTATATAAAAATATACATAAATATACAGACAAATATAAATATATATAAAAATATATTTAAATATATACAAATATATTTTCTTCAGTACCAGACTGAGGGAAAAACAAGCACCACCATTTAAAGGGCAGATTTAGAGAGGGTGGGTTTGAATTGCTGTGCTCAGATGGAAACTGGGAAAGAACCAGTGCCATGGATGGGCAGTACTGGGGGCTGGACTGGTACCCTGGCAAGAGGAGCTGAACTGGACCAACCCTGGTGAAAAAAGGGGAATATTCCCCAGGCAGGGAAGGTTTTGTTGGAGGGAATGCTCAGCAGTACACAAGAGTAAAAAAACCACAAGAGTAAAAAAAAAAAAATGAAATAAGATGATCAGAAATTCTCATTATTCCCAATAAATGTGCACCCCTGCTCACCTGTGTGAGGGGAGGGTCCCACACCTGGCTGGGCACAAGACTGGCACCCACCTGCAGACACAGAGTCCACCTTCCTGGGAGCAGGTCTGGTTCTGCCCTGGACATCCTCCCCCTCATCCCTGCTCTCCAGGATTTCTTCTGCAGGTTCCCTGGACATCCCAGAATCCTTCCCTTCCGCCTGAGGACTCGACTCCTGCTGGGCCAGGCTCGCACTCAGCTCTTGAGAATCCTTACTTTTGTAAAACTTGCTGTCACACACCTGCAGACCAACCCAGAGGCACAGTCACACCATGGCCTGTCCATCCCAAACTCTGCTTCCCAAGCATTCCTGGCCCTGCCAAAGGCTTCACTTTGGCACTGTGTTTGTTATCATTATTATTATTATTACTATTATTATTGTTGTTGTTGTTGTTGTTATTAGCAGGCACAGGTTTTCACACAGTGGCCACACCAGCATCTTCCACTCAAAAAGCTTGTTCTTAACCCAAAAGAACATCAAAAATGACATCATTTGGCACAGCAAGGAGGGGCAGCAGGGAAGTGAGGAGGAGAGAGGTGGGAGAGGGCTGGGCAGAGCTCCAGGGAGGGAGACACTGCTGGACACCTCGGGATTGACCTCCTTCCTCGTGCCATTATTTGGGATCATCCCTGACCTGCCCACTGACCTTGCTGCTACAGTGGCTGCAGCTCCTCCTCTTGCTTTTCTTGAGCTTGGGGTCACTGCTCCCCTCGTGGCAGGAACAGGGACACTCCTTCATCCCCTCCACCCACTCGACCTCCTGGAACAGACACACGGACACTGAAGGGATGCTGCTGCTGGCAAGCAAAGCACACCAGGAGCACTCCAGCCCCCTTGGGAGGCTCTTATCATGCCCCCCAACCTCTCCCCATGGCCATTCCCCAGCTCAGAGCCCGCAGTGAGGCCCCCCAGCCCCACCTTGTCGTTGTGTTGGCCCCCCATCTCCTTCCTCTTCTTGCTCCTCGCGGCCCCGTGGATCTTGGGTGGCTCATCCTCCTCCTCCACATCTGGCAAAGACACCTCTTCAAACCCATCAAACTGCAAGAAAACAAACACACATCACTGCTCCCAGCTTTGTTTTCCCCGGAGACACAAATCCTGTCCAAAGATCAGAAGAGTTCCCTTCTAACTCTTCTCTCCCACCCCACCGCTTCCCCCTCCCTGGAGCTGCAGCCCCTGCTTGAGTTCTCCCCGTTCAAACCCGTCTCCCATCTCTGCTTTTACCCTTTCTGGCCTTAGAAAAGATTGCTGCACCTCGTATTCCTTCTCCTCTGTCCAGTTGATCTCCTCGAAGTCTCCCATCCTGCTGGCTGAGGGCCGGAGGTGGTCGAAGAAGACAGAGAACTCGTCCTGCAGGTGGTCGTGGCCCTTCAGCAGCTGCCACATTTGGGTCTTCAGCTGGAGGAGAGAAACCCAGAGGAAATGAGTCTTGTTCCATGTCATCACCTTGCCCTCTGGAGGATTCTCAAAGCAAGTGGAGCATCAAAGGCTCGTTAAGCCTCCAACGTGGACGCCTGTGCTTGCACTGCAACTGCTTCCTGAGTATTCTGAGGTCATTCCACACCCAGCCAGCAAATCAGCATGGAATTGCCCCTCCAGAATTCCAGACAGACTCTGGAGGAGGCACCAAGCTAAAAATCTCACCTACAAGGTGACAAAGGTGAGGTGGGAGGGAGGAGACAGGCAGAGCATCAACTGGGCAGCCCCTTGAAGAGGCAGCTCCAGTTCTCCTGGAATCCAAGGCCAGGGGGGATTGGTCCAGTGGAAGGTGTCCTTTCCCAGGGCAGGGGGTGGAACAGGAGGAGCCTTAAGGTGCCTCCCAACCCAACCCATTCTATGGTTCTATGGACTGAGCTGTGCCCCCAAACTGCTGCACATGGGGACAGGGAGCCAGGCTGGAATCACCCTCAGGGTTCTGGCAGAAAGGGGACACCTGGTTACCTCTGCAATCTCCTGGGGCAGACAGTCTGCACAGCTCTGCAGGACCTTGATGATCTTCTGGTGGTGGGCAGGGTTCTCAGCGAAGCAGATCTCCAGCTGCCGGAGGAACTTGCGGCTCTTCTCGAAGGCTTGCTGCTCCTCAAACTGCACAAACCAAACCCAGTCACCCTCACGGCCAAGAACACGCTCCCAAACACCTTGAGCTGGCTTAAATGAGCCATAAAATCCCTGCCCTGGTCTTTGTTTTCCATGGCATTGATGCTCCTGGGGGGGCAAATCTGGGGGGCCTCGGAGGAGGAGAAACGCTTCGTGTGATCGATATTACACCAGCTAGAAAGTTCTGCTCCAACCACCTGCACACACAACAGGGACTGGACATTCTCAGAGAGAATGGAAGAGGTGAAACCCTCTATTTGACCAGTGCAAGGCTGACCTGGAGGCCAGGGAACCACGGTTTGCTGGGTCTGCACGTCGTCCCTGGTGGAACCGGGAAAGGCTCCCCCAGTCACCCCAAGCAGGAGACTCACAACCCACACCAAACCTCCCAATTCTGACTGAGAAACCAGCCAGTGATTTCCCAGCCCCCTGCCCTGGGAAGAGCTCTTTATCCTTTCACTCCCACAGCCATTCAGGTTGTTTAAAATCCAGTCTCCTCCTCTCCTTCCCACCTACCAGCCCACACTCCAAAGCTTGCTCTGGCAAGAGGAAGGCAGCAAAGTCTGTGAGGAGCTGGGGCCAGTCGTGCAGCAGCTTCTGCAGGGTGGAGTAGAGATCCACAGCTGTCCTCTTGTCTGTGCTGATCTCAAACTCGTAGATGACACGGAGAAAGTCTTCGTATTTCCCCGGGATGTGCTGCAGCGTCTCACGGACCTGGAAGGAGCAACAGGACTCGGTGACACCCAGGAAGGAAACAAGTTAATCATGGAATACCTTGTGCTGGAAGGGATCAGCTCATTTCACCTCTCTGCCATGGGCAGGGACACCTCCCATTAGATCAGGCTGCTCCAACCTGGCCTTGGACACTCCCAGGGATCCAGGGGCAGCCACAGCTTCTCTGGGAAACCTGTGCCAGGGCCTCTCGACCCTCACAGGGAAGGATTTCTTCCTAAATTCCTGTACCCTGGTAATCTTTGATCTCCTCCTACCCAGAACTAACACAGTGCTTCCAGTTTTGTTGAGCCAACTCTTCCTTAAGGATAAACCTGAACTGCTCCCGGGAGAGGGGAACTCAAGCAGGACCACAGAGCTCCCAAGCTCAGAGGGGTCTGGTGCTGTGGAGTCCTCAAATCCTTCACTCCCACCTCCCCCACACAGGACAGAAAGCAAGAAAACCCACAGGTCAGGACAGAGAGAGTTTGGGAAGTGAAGGGTCACACACGGGGGGTGTGAGGAGAAACAACCCCACCCCAGTGCTCCCAGTTGGACCTGGCAGAGCCGGGGCTCAGTTCTGTGCCAGGGCACCCCCAGTGTCCCTTACCCTGGTCAGGTAGGCCTGGGCAAAGGCCAGGTCCTTCTGCTCCCTCAGGGGATCCCTCTCCAGGATGTCCTCATCATACAGCAGCAGCAGCTTCGAGGTGTCTTTGCTGGCCCGGGCCCGGCCCCGCTTGTTCCTGGTCCTGTGGGAGCTCCTGCCCTTCCCAGGGGCCTTCAGGTTCTCTCCTGGGAGGGAGCACAGGGTGAGTTGGTGGCACACAGGGCAACATTCCAACAGAAAGGCAGCTTCCAGAGCCAGTGGTGAGTCCCTGTCTCCCCTGGAAGTGCAGGGGCAACACAGTTCCCAGGAGTCAGGCTGGCCAAAACCTTAAACTGCCCCTTTGTTTTCACAGCATCTGACAGGAGAAACCTCTGGATACATCCACGAGCTGTTCCTCAGCTCCAACCTGCCAAAACCCACCAGAGTCCTGCACTCCAGGGCAGAGCAATCATGGGGGGGACAGAGATACAAGAAGAGCATCAGAGCTGGCTGTTCGCTCTGCAAATGACTCTTTTAGCTCATTATTTACACAACAGAGCTAAAATCACACACAGTAAGGAAGGAAACAGGGTACTAAGAGGTGTTACATCAAGATTTTTATGGCTTTAGCCTCAGGAATCTGTTGGTTTAATGGGCTGAGGTCCAACTCCTCGAGTTCATCTCCCACTTTGCTGGAGTCTGTCGAGCTGTTGTTTTGTTTCATTTCTTTTTCCCCATCACACAAAACCCAGCTCAGCAAAGATTTGGCTGTTTAATGTTGTTCTTACAACTGGGTAGGAGCTGACACAAAACCCCAAATCTGCCTGCAGGTTTTTGAGGCACAAACACTTTCAGATGGACCGAGGGCCCCCGGCTCACACGTGCCAGGACCTCCGTGGGCCCTGATTTCACAGGGCTGGGACTGAGTCACAGAATTGCAGTTCCAGGTTAAAAGCAGCCCAGAGCTCAGACACACTCAGTGAAATCAAACCAGGAAGGGTTTAATTTCATTGAAAGCTCCTGCTTTCCATGGAAGAGCAGCTCCCAGCAAACCCCCAGCCCTCACCTGCTGGAATCCTGTGGGTCTCCACCTGGGGGGAAGCTGCCTTTGCCAGCGTGAAGGCAGATTTGGGCTCCTCTGAGGTATCTCCACACGTTTCATCGTCCTTCTGTAAACTCTCTATCCCTTCCCCTTCCTCCTCCTCCTCTTCCTCAGGCTCAGAGTTCTCTTCCTGGGAATTCTCCTCTTCGGAATCCCCCTCCTGGCTCAGACGTCTCTCTGTTGCGAGCCAAGTGAGTTTTTCCATGGTCTCCTTAGAAAGCAATGACAGAACATCACATTGTTTAATTTTACTGTTTAAATATCCTTCAGTAACCCCCTCCCTGCACCACGATTCCAAGAGCCAACTTCACAGACCAGCATCTGCCCAAAATTCCAGGAAGGAACAGAATTCAAAACCCTCCAGAGCCGCCCGGGGTTTTTTTTTTTTACTGCGAAAAATTAAAATTTCAGACTCTGCCATTCAGCAGGTCAGGCCTTGAGTTAGAGGTGGGATTCCACAAGGGTCAATCTTGGCTCTTACAGGCCTGCTGGAACTGTGACCTGGAAAATAAACTGTCACTCGAAGCACTTCTTGTTAAAGAGCAGCCTCGCTGAGGAGTTTAAATCTGTGTATTTTCAATACCCTCCCTCAGCTTTGGACTTGAAATCTGCTCAGGAAAACCTGGTGTCCAATTCCTCTGTGAACAGCACGATGCCAAGGTATCTATCTGTCTGTCTGTCTATCTGTCTATATTTTTATTTATTTCCCTCTGAAGTGTCACAGTTTAGCACGAGAACAGGCCCCTTTCCCAAAGCTTCCCCCCATCCCTGGTGGAAGGCATTGGGAAAGGGGGGCTCTTGGGGCCTGGGGGTTTGTGCAGGCTGTTATTAGTTAATTAATTAATTATTTTATCTGTCTATCTATCTATCTATGTATCTATTTTTTTATTTATTTCCCTCCTGAAGTGTCACAGTTTAGCATAAAAACAGGCCCCTTTCCCAAAGCTTCCCCTCATCCCTGGTGGAAGGTACCAGGAAGGGGAGGGTGGCTTTGGGTCCTGGGGGTTTGTGGAGGCTTTTATTAGTTAATTAATTAATTATTTTATCTACCTATCTATGTATCTAGCTTTTTATTTATTTCCCTCCTGAAGTGAAAACAGGCCCCTTTCCCAAAGCTTGCCCCCATCCCTGGCAGAAGGTATTGGGAAAGGGGGGTTCTTGGGGCCTGGGGGTTTGTGGTGGCTGTTATTAGTTAATTAATTAATTATTTTATCTATCTGTCTATTTTTTTATTTATTTCCCTCCTGAAGTGTCACAATTTAGCACAAAAACATGTCCCTCTCCCAAAGCTTCCCCTCATCCCTGGTGGAAGGTACCGGGAAGGGGGAGGCTCTTGGGGCCTGGGGTTTGTGGTGGCTGTTACCAATCAATGAATTAATTAATCAATTTATTTATATATGTATTTTTTTTCAGAAGTGTTACTCCAGAGCTTTCATCCCACCTTTCCAGCTGAACTCCCACCTGTTGTGCCCTGAGCCCAGGGGGTGTTTCAGGACACCCACAGTTCCACCGGCGAGCCTTTTAAAAGGTTTTGTTTTTACCTGGAGCTCCGGCACTGACAGAACGGACTCTTCGGAGGCCGATGACATCTCCTCGTCCTCATCCTGGGTGAAATCATCGAAGTCATCCTCCTCCTCCTCCTCCTGCCCCTCCCTGTCCCCCGCGGCCTCGGGCCCCGCCGGGGTGCCCACGGACTGGCCGTCGATGCTGGACGAGTCCTCGGGCCGGCCCAGGGGGCTGCTGAACTCGGCCTCGCCCTCGCCGGGGCACGGGGGGTTCCCGGGGGACTCGCCGCTCCCCGGGGGCCCCGGAGCCGCCGCCTCGCTCTGCTGCTCCCCCCGGGGAGGCGACTGCAGGGCCCGGCCTTCCTCCTCCCCCTTCTCCTTCTCCTCCTTCCTCGCACACGCGGCCTCCACGTTCAGCTCCTGGCCCAGGCCCAGCAGGAATTCCTCCTTCACCTCTTCTGCCCTCTTCTGCCCCGGGTTTGCCTCCCCGGGAGCCCCACCGGGCTCTTCGGGCTGGGTTTTCGCCGCCTCGCCCGGATCTTCCAGGCGAGGCAGCAGCTCCGCCACGGGCAGCGGCTCCGCGGAGCTCCCGTCCCCTTGTCCCGCTGCCCAGCACTCGCCCTCGCTCCCCTTGTCCTGGGCAGGGGCAGGATTGGTGCCACGTTCCCCCTGGGGGGACAGGGAGGAGCGGGGAACGCAGAGCTCCGGGGGTTCCACCTGGGGCTCTCCCGTGGGGTACCCACGGCCTCCGCCGCTCCCGGTGGGGACCAGGGTCAGCTGCTCCTCGCCCTCACCCACGGCCGGCGCTGCCGAGAGACCCACGGGGCTCGGGGAGACGATCAGGGACGGGATGGACGAGGTCACCAGGGGCTGGTTCAAGGGACACGGGAAGGGGGCCGGGTTCACCAGCAGGGTGGTGACCGGGATGGCCTGCGGGCCCCGGCCCACGGCGGTGCCGAGGGGCTGGATCACGTTGCAGCCGTTGCCGATGTTGAGCACCTTCACCGTGGTGGCGGGGACGGTCAGGATGACGGGGGACGGCTGGATCAGAGGGGAGGGTTTGATCAGCGGGGCGGGTTTGGTCCCTTTTTTCCTCTGGTAGCCCCTGCGCACGCACGGCCTGCGGGATTTGGTCCCGGCCAGCGCCGGGAGCATCAGCTTGGGCTGGAGAGCGGCGGGGTCCGAGGACACCAGAGCCGGTGGCACGGCAGCCGAGAAGGCTTGTCTGGAGTCCGGGGGCACGGCGGGGAGAACGTTCTGGAATTCCAGGCCGTCCCCACCTCCCACCACCGCCGGGACGTTGAGGGGCTGCACTCCCGGCACCGCCGGGACAACCGGCGCCGGCTGGATCGGCTGAGGAACCTGGAGCAGAACTTTGCTGGGAGGAGCCTCCGACTGGGACAACTTCACAGCCTTCTGGATGTTGACAGCGTTGGAGTTGGGCTGCAGGCCGGGGTTGGGGCGGATCAGGACGGGCTTCAGGGCCGAGGACCTCTGCCTCCTCCACGCCCGCCGCGAGAACCGGTTGGCCAAGGGCTTCAGGGTCAGGACGAGCCCCTTGGGCATGAGCAGAGGGTATTTCTCCTCGTGCTCTGCGTCTGAAGTTTCCTTTCCTGCCCCCAAAAAGACGGGCTCTGCAGCAGGCGAACCCGGCGCCTCCTTGGCATCTTCTGCCAGCTGCTTCAGCTCCTCCTGGATGGAGGGCAAGCTCGCCTGAGGGAGCAAGGATTTATTAGGATTTGTTATTTACGGGCTGCTCCCGTATTCCCACCTTCCCACAGCACCACAGAAGGGGACAGAGAGCAACTTGCCTTTGCAAGTGGGTTTTTGTTTACTTCATACTGCTCTATGTTGCTTAATATTGCTTTAAATTCATGAGCCTTTAAAAGACTCTGAGAGCCTGAGAGAAACAACCAAATTATTGAGGGATCCTGAGAGAAACCACCAAATTATTGAGGGATCCTGAGAGAAACCACCAAATTATTGAGAGATCCTGAGAGAAACCACCAAATTATTGAGAGATCCTGAGAGAAATAACAATAAATTGCTTCACAAAGTTTGCTTTAGTAAACGTGGGATTTCTGTGGGAAGGAAAATTCCCCCTGGAGCAGTGGGTGGTCAGGAGAACTGGATTTTATGGCATCTGAGTCTGGTTCCTTCCCCAGACACTGCTTGTCCTCCTCCAGGCCTCCAACTCCTTGGGGGAAACCCAAGGGAAAAACTCATGAGGAAAACACACAAGAGAAAGGAAAACCCACAAGAAATGCAAGGAAAACCCACAAGAAATGCAAGGAAAACCAAGGAAAACCCACAGGAAATCAACCCAACAGCGATGCAGAACATGAAGGGGATGAAGAAGCACCTTCAGCCAGAAGGGCAGGCGATGCTCTTCCCTCTCCACAGGCGGTTTCCACTCGTGGGGCTGGATTTCCTCGCAGCACTTCACCAGCACAGGCAACTGCTTTGTCTTCTTGTAGTACTGTGAGGAGACAGGAGGGAATTCCAGACAATTCCACCCGTCCAGGGCGGGGTGGGGGAGAGAGACTGTGCAATAAAGTGATTCTCATCACTCCTTTAACAAGGTTCTACCCACAGGAACATGAAAAATCAACCCCCAAGGCTGAAGCAGAGCTCTCGGCCAGCCTGGCTGCCCTCAGAGAAAGCAGGAGGTCGTAGATGAGGTCCAGGAAAACTTGGTTTAAGTGTTTCTGGTCCTTACTCTCTCTCCAGCAGCGGGACAGGATTATTGCCCTGCTGGACCTTCACCTGCAGGCAGCACTTCTATGCTACTCAAAAGGTTGTACTTATTACACTTTTGCTCCTCAAAGGTTGTATTTATTACACTTTTGCTCCTCAAAAGCTTGTATTTATTCCACCTTTGCTCCTCTAAAGGTTGTATTTATTCCACCTTTGCTCCTCTAAGGCTTGTATTTATTACATTTTGCTCCTCAAAAGCTTGTATTTATTACATTTTGCTACTCAAAAGCTTGTATTTATGATTTTTCACCAGCATTACTTAGAGAACAGTGGCACCAGGACCGTGCTGGGCTCTAAAGAGTCAAACCAACAACTTGCAAATCCCAGGGGATAAAACCTCCTGGAATAACCCCTGGCTGCTAACGAGGGGGTGACATTTTCTCCTAAGTGCCAGCCCAAAAACCAGGGCTCCTGGAAGAGCCAGCCCCTCCCTGCTGGCGTGCCCACCGAGGTGGCCGTGCCCTTACCCTGATGATGTTGTCGGGGGCCCGGTTCATGTTGAGGTTCTTGATCCTCACCGTGAGCTGGTGGGCGGTTTTGGTGGGCAGGAGGTATTTGCTGATCAGGGGCTTGGGGAAGTCGGTGCCCTCGAAATGTTTCAGCCCCAGAGCCAACAAACTGGGCAGGGGGGAAAGAAGGAGGGCAGGGGGTGAGAAGCCTTCCAGCCGCTTCCCCAAAATCTGCACCCCGGAAATGCTCCTCCACAAACGTCTGGAGCAGGAATTCCATCCCAGCACCCGCTTATTCCATCCCAGCACCTGCTTATTCCATCCCAGCACCTCCTTATTCCATCCCAGCACCCACTTATTCCAACCCAGCACCTACTTATTCCATCCCAGCACCCACTTATTCCATCCCAGCACCTACTTATTCCATCCCAGCACCCACTTATTCCATCCCAGCACCTACTTATTCCATCCCAGCACCCACTTATTCCATCCCAGCACCTCCTTATTCCATCCCACCACCTGCTTATTCCATCCCAGCACCTCCTTATTCCATCCCAGCACCTACTTATTCCATTCCAGCACCTCCTTATTCCATCCCAGCACCTCCTTATTCCATCCCAGCACCTACTTATTCCATTCCAGCACCTACTTATTCCATCCCAGCACCTACTTATTCCATCCCAGCACCTACTTATTCCATCCCAGCACCT